CGCCCTTCTCGCACTTTCTCTCTCGTCCTCATCTTTCTGCTTCTTCATCTTCTCCTCATCCTTCTTTACATCCTCTGCAATTCTCCTCTTCATCCTCGCTCTGCACTCCTCTGAGTGGCTCGCCTGAACCAGCGCTCCACCCGTGTTGATTGTGTGACACCCTTGGCATCCTGGAGTGCTCCCATACTTCTGCATCATCGTTCTCCTCACCGGCCACGCCCGGCCCTTTGCCGAGTGACCTTCTTCCTCTGGGGCTTCTCCCCCCTGATGCTCCTCTGGGCGCTCAACCAGGACCTCTCCTCCAGGTCCGGGAGCTGGGGCCACGAGGACCACCGGGGGCAGCCTCTGATCCTCACCTTCTTTCTGCTGTTGCTGCTGCCGCTCTTCCGGCTGCGGGTTGACATACTTCTTGATGTCCCAGGGCACACCACGCAATCCGGGCTCCAGCCTTGACCACCTCTGATCCTCAGGCACCGTGTGGAAGCCCGTGCCAACCACCACTCCGGCATCCGTCATGGCCAAGATCGACCCAAACCTGTTGTGGGTGCCCAGGTACCTCCCGCTCACCATTCTTGCCCAATCTCCTCTCTTTCCACCTCCAGCAGGTTTGACCATGATCTTTTCACCGAACTCCGGCATGGCCTTCACCCATCTTTTGCCTGTCCTTCTCTCCTCTGGCGTCCTCCCATCTGCTCCGACCTTGAACCTGCCATGCTGCTCTGCAGAGTACCTCGGGGCCCAATAGGTAATAGGATGCCCTTCAGGAACTCCACCTTCCAACTTCTTGTCCAAGGCCAAGAGATTGGCTTTGCACCTCCATTTGATCTCCTTGACAGCCGCCTCCGCTTCTCCATTCGACCGTGAATCTCCAGCCGGCGACTCCTCTGGCACCGCCTTCTTCAATCCTCTCGCCTTCTTCGCTGCCTCCATCTTCATCTTCACCAAGCTCCTTTCACCATCGCTTTTGAGGACCACCTCCTTGTAGCCCAAGCTTTCCAGGAACCTGGTCAACATCTTCTGGGCTGTCGCATCCACGAGCCCTTTTCTTTCCATGGAGGTTGCCGTCATCAGCCCGGTCTTCCGGTCCCGAGCTACAATGTTCGGCTTCGCACCTTCGGCCTCGCCCATGTAGAAGTAGTCGAGGCTCACCGTGGACATGTCGGGATTCTCACCACCATGGTCCACCTTCACGTGCTTCTGGACAAGGCCTGCTGCTTTGACGCACATCTCGCACCAGCTCCTGTAGACCGCATGGCCGCTCGCCTCGTGCTCCTTTCTCTCACGCTCGCTTGGCTGCGGCGGTACCCAGCCCGGGTGAGCAGGTCTGGCCTCCACCAACTCCTCAGGACCTTCTTGCTGAACTCCGATCTCATCCTCCAGAGCCCACACCGTGTTGCGCTCCTCGTCGATTCTCGCTGCCTTGGCTTTGGGCTTGCTCTTCATCAGTCCGCTCGCCGAGGCCTGTGTCTCCAGTTCCGCCACCTGCTCATCCGCGCTCTCTGGGTCGGGCATCTCCAGGTAGAAGTTGTAGATGCCGTTCTCTTCCACCACCGGGATCATGCCCTTGTCACCGTACAGCTCCAGCGCCTTCTCGTAAGCCTCTTCCAGCGTCTTATAGACAGGATGCTCCACCGGCATGATAGTTCCTCCGCCTTTCCACAGCCAAGTGCTGTGCCCTTTTCCATGCAACCTGCCCGCGCTGATCAGGACCTTGTGCACGTCCGTCGCATTCCCATTCACCATGCGCTTCACGCCGTTCATGTCATAGCCGCCAATCTTCACCGGGCCGTAGTTGTTGATCAGCTCGCCCGAGGCGGTCTTGAACGTTCCTTTTCCACCTCCAGTTCCTTCGCGCTTGTACCTCTTCGGGATAGCTGTCACCGAAGCGCCAGTGTCGAAGTTGCACTTCAGCAAGTTGATCTCGCCACCAAGCTCCCGTCGTTTGATAGCCACCCTTTTCGCAAACGAGGTCGTTGTAGACACCCTCGCCGTTGACGACAGCGCGCAAAGGTCCAGCCCGTTCGCTTCTCCTTCCGGCTCATCTCCCGGCTGCTCCAGCGATGCCGCCTCCCGCTTGCCGCCTTTGCCACCTTTCGGACTTGTAGGCGCCGACGATGATGAAGCTCCACCGCCCTTCGCCCAGCAATCCTTCTTCATGTGGCCCTTCTTCCCGCAGTTGTTGCAGATGCCATCAAACTTGCCCTTGCCGGCGCTCTGGCTGTTGCTTCGGGACTTCGCGCCTCCTCCTTTTGATCCCTGCTGCGGCTTCGACCAACAATCCTTCTTCTTATGGCCTTTCTTGCCGCAGTTGTCGCAGTTGCCCTCAAACTTGGCCTTGCCTCCTTTTCCACCTCCTTTCTTGCCCTTCACGAGTGAGGCCAAATTGCCATTGACCGCCCGGACCAGGGAGTCCACATCCATGGGGGCCACGTCACCTGCCGAGGACTTGCTGAAGTCCTTCGAGATCGTCAGCTTGCTCCCCGTCTTCGCCTCCATGTAGGTCACCACCTCCTGCTCCATCTCCTCAAAGGTCCGGAACCTCGTGTAGTTCAGCATGAGGTGCTGCTCCATCTCCTTCGGAACTAATTTCTCCAAAGCGTTCATCGCCAGGCTGTCTTGCAACACCTCACGCTTCCCGAACTGATCCTTCTTGCGGTCGTATCTGTTTCTCAATGCCTTCCAACGTTCTAAGGCATTGCCGAGGTTCTCGTATGAGGATCTTTCTGGGCTCGTCAATGCTTGAAGCATTATGCGCTTGCGTCCTCCGGTGCTCGGGTCGAACTTCCTGTGCAGGGCCCTCCAAGCTTCCAATCCAGCACCCTTCGGCGCGTTCTCCACCAAGTCGAAGACCGCCCCCTCCGTGGTCGCCCTGAGGATGGTGTAGACCTGTTGGTTCATCTCATCAACCTCATCCCATTGATCCAGAAGATCTGCTCCGGCCCCGAACTGGTTATCGATGTCCATCTGCGCGATGGGGTTCTCCTGCTCAGCAGCCCATTCCAGCACCTCACGGGATTTGCCGCCGATCACGCCTGCCACGTAGTCCTCCAGCTTCAAGGCCCAGACCCGGAATCGATCTTCGGCTCCTTCTCCGAGCACCTGAGGCTTTCCGAGGCCCTTCTGATCTATCAGGCCTCCTCCTCCTCTCTTGCTCATCTTCTCCAGGACTTCCGGCAACCGGCTCAATGCTTGCAGCACCTCCGCCGAGCCCCCTGATCCGCCACCGGCTCCAGCCGTCTGCTGCTCCGCCGCTTGCACCCGATCACGGAGTCCCGCGTTCTCCTGAGCCAACTGCGCCATCTGCTGCTGCATCTGCTGCACCACCGCCGTGAGCTCCTGTATCGTCGCCATCGCCCTCTTCAAGGATCAAGCCGACCAACACAAAGAAGCCCCCCTCGTAGGTGAAGATGCCCACCAGCAAGGCTAGGACCCACCTCCAGTGGTTCCACCGCCAAACGGGCTCGCCTCGCTGCTGCAGCTCCTCAAACCTCTGCAGCTGCCGAGCGTCCTCCGACCTCGACTCGGCCGCTCCCCTCCGTGGCCCAGCTGGCCGCTCTCGGGGAACCCCGATCCTCCTCCTGTAGAGCTTGTCCTTGGCCGCGGACTTGCCCCTGATCGTGCCCGAGAGCTCCGCTACCATGAAGACATGGCTTGGAGTCCCTTTTGATCCGCTAGATGATCTCGGGGTATGCACAAGTCTTTACAAGCCTGCACAATCCAAACCACCAACTAAGGGTTACCTGATCTTGGGTGGGGTCAAAACAGCAAAAATATGGAGATTGCAGGTAAAGTTCGGTGAAGGTTGATTGCACAATCCCCTGACTTCGGTTTTGTAATCCTGTCTACTCACCCACAGAAGGAGCTTCAAGCCGTCAGAGCACTCACCGACCGAATCTCCTGTCAGGTATCCCAACCGGTGCCAGCGGCCAGTGGATGGTGCCCGTCACAGGGAAGCCAGCCATCACTCAGGATTGCCGCGCAAGCATATTTGAAGGCCTGTGAGAACCCCAAGCAATCATGGTCCCCTATTAAAGCCCCTGCTTGCCTAAACGCAATATCCCAAAACCGCCTGAAAACACCGTCCGCTCACATCAAATCTGAATAGAGTGCTGGGCATAAGGCTGTTTGACCCCTCAACTTGGGATATCAAGGGGCGCCCGACGTTGGTGTATCTTTTGAGGCTCGGCCTCCGTTTTGGGGCTTGGAATTGAAGCCAAAAGGAAATCGCTGATTGTGTTGGTCCCATGTTGAGACAAACCCTAAGTGAGAGGGGGTCCAACTGTCCGCCGCCAAACAAACAAGACAAAGAAAGAAAGAGGTGACAAACGACAAATTAATGGCGCAAATCTGACATGGACGACCACATGTTTGGGGCCCATCATTTTGTGCTTCGCTAAGGTGGGCCAGAACCACCCGAAAAACGGTCTTGAGCCAATGGCCTTGAGCGCAATTGCATACGAATGGCCTGACTTCAAAGGTCTGACATGAGTCCTCATTGAAGCCATTCTTGCTTCCCCCCCCTTCCTACCACCCCCCAAAAAAAAAACTCCTTGTGGCTTGCCTACGGGTACTAGTACCAGCAGGTGGTTAAAAGAAGTTGTTTGCCCCTTTTGGAGCTCGTCCCGGTGGTTGAAATTTAGGGCGCTTCCATTTTCCCTGAGAACCAGGTTTTGACTGAGCCTGCCCAGCAACCTTTGGGAACCTCCTGTACCCCTCGTCAACAAGGCTCTTTGAACCTCAGTTGGGGCCTAATTCTTGGAATCCAGCAAATGCTTTACGAAATCTCAGCAAAGAGTGACCAAGATCTCTGAATTTGGGACAAAAGTAGAAACACAACATCGCAACTATACAAACAAGAAGGCTTCCTCTCACTCAATGACTCTATCCCCATGTCACTGATCGCAGGGCTTTCAATGCGTCTCCGTTGCAAGGCGTCGGCCGCCGCTGCAGTATGATCCGTTGTTCACGGGGCCTCTGCAAAACCTGTCTCCGAATCGCGCCTCCGCGAGAATGGCGTGCTTTACATGCAGCAGGTCGTGCAACGAGCCGCCCGGCGCCAACTGCGTGCAGTTGAAGCATGAGGCGCCCAAACAGCGGAGACATTTGGAGTTTTGAAATGTGCGGGGGTCCGGGGGTTGGGTGTTTCGGAGTTTGGGTTTGCGAGTTTTGGAGGAACATGTTACTAGCGAGATGCAAGCCCTAGTTGTCCACCCCGAACCCCTTTCTTGAGCTCCATGTTACTTTTTGGCTCATGACCCAACAACAAGGTGGGGATCGGAAAAAAAGAAGCGCAGTAGACGGCATTCCCTGGTCCAGCAGCAGCTCATCAGGCAAGTTTGTTGCTTTGCGCGACACCCATAGTTCTGCGGACGTCGTATATGGCATCATCTCTCTCCAGGTGCCATAGATGACGCAGCACAACTGTTCGATCCACCCCGCTTATTTTGGAAATGAAGCCAGTCGTAGCGCAGGCTTAATCCCGGCGCCCCTCCTGCACAAGAAGGCAAATTGGCACAGTCTCAGGCAAATCCAAATCCATTGCTCTTCTTGACCACCCATGAAAAGCCTTGCGTTCCTCGGCTGGTCATAAAACTGATGGCTGACCTCTGTGTGCAAAGCCTTAATTTGGACTGCAAGAGGGCGAAAAGAGCAATGCCTGAACCAACGGTAAAAATGTTGCTCGTAACTTTAGGTTGAATTTTCCTACAAGCACACACACACACACATACACCTACACACACAAATGGTCTGGCTCATCTGTGTTTAGAATCCATATCATTGTTGCTTCAAGCATCATGCTGCTAACAAACAAAAGCACAAAACAAGGAAACTAGTTTGATCATGCTAAAGTCACATGTGTTTGAACGATATCCTTCTGTTGTCCCTTTAAAGGAAGGCGAATTGGTCTGGGCTTCTCACATGTTGCAACCAGCCCTGGTGATCAGAAAGGGGCCTGGGTAATCTCCTTGCTGCTCCGGGAAGAGTGGAAGTCTCTACGGTTTCGCACTACGCCTATACACATATGTACTTGTTGTGTTTTTTGTGCTGAGGGTGCGTTGGTTTTAAAGGGAAAGGAACGTAGCCATTGTTGGTAGGCGTTTATTTTGACACGCCCCTATTCATGTTTCTGCCTTGGACCACGACTCTAGGGGTTCCCCCCTGAGCAAACGAAGAGCTTTCTACTGATCCGGCAACCAGCAAATGATGACGGGAGCCTCTAAAACAAGTGGCTGTCACTTGATTCCCCTTCGGTGGATCTATCTGCCTACATTCGCATTTATCGAATTTTTGGGTACAGCAACAGGCCTCTCATGTTTGCTACATTGTGGGTTGGTGTCACGCTTCCACATGGTACTGGTGCTCTAAACCATTTCTAAGATCGTATCGACATGTTGTGCGTATCTAAGAACCTCATCTCATCTCTCAAACTAGTAGAGGGTATAACGGTATCATTTCTGGAGAATGAACAAATAGAAGTAATACCTTCTGGAACTTATATGCCACTGCATCACTTGGATGGGACGGCTGGGACAAAGAAGAACACTAGGATGATGGGCACACCATGACAGTTAGATCGCCTTCTCGGACACCGAAACTCAGATTTGCCTGCGATAACATCAAGATGTAGGCTTCACCACATTGCCAACCCTGCCAGTTCGATTCTCAGGGTTGAAAAACAAAACCAAATCTCTAGCAGGGCTGGGCCATCAAAAAAGATACCCATGTCGGTGCGATGAGACCCTTACAGCTTCTGGCAGGACCCTACAACGGCAGTCCAGAATAGATCAAAGGAGGCACCACTGTCCCTTCTTCGGATCACTCTGACAGCCGGGGGACCTGAACCAAAACGGGTTTCTACACTTCTAGGAGGCCCTTTATCCTGGAAAGAGGGCCAAACGGCAAACCGCTGCTCTGTTGACCTTACATTTTGGACCCGTCGGATCCAGTCAGTTTGCCCGCCTCAGTGACGATGCACAGAAAGGGCGGCTGGACGGCGATGCCGATCAGCTGGATGAGGCGCTCGTGCCTGGCAAGGGCGACAGAAAGGTGTTAGATCGTGGCCCACAAGCAAGGGTGCATACTTCTAGGGGTACCTTCCCCATTCTTTCCTATGCAGTCAACCCTCCAATACAGCATAGTTTTAGACGAGACCCCAAAATCAACAGATCCCAGCTCCCCCCTCTGTTTCCCGTGTTTCAATGAGGGGCGGGCCCAACCGGGAGAAACGACCGCGTGCGCCTCTTGGCCGGTTACTGCCAATTTGGCATTCCGCGAGGAAATCTACACCGTTCAGGGACCGCCGTAACTTTTCCAAGGTGGTCCAAGAAGGAGCAGCCTTGTGTGTGTGGCATTGTCACACAGCATGGGAGAAATGTTCGAACATAGCTGGGTGATCCTTCATCAGCCTGACACACGGGATCACAATGTCACAAGACGACGAGCACAACACAATCATCATATGTCCGATCGCGAACTCTCTAGTGAGGTCGCAAGAACCCCATACCAAAGCCAAAGCAAGCCGAGTCATGGATTTGGCCCTTGTATACTTGTCAATGGATATGGCCCCTCGGACTCGTCACTATTAGTCGCTAAACGTGGGTTCAGTGACCGGTGTGCTGCCCGAAACGGGGCCTGGACAGCCAGGTCGCCTCATGCTTATCGCCATGAAGGGAATACCTGAACCAGTAGCAACCAGTAGCCAGCAGCAACCAGCAGCCAGTAGCATTGTAGCAACCAGTAGCCACAAAACGGCCTTGTTTGCAGCTTCACCCGTCGCCCCTATTCGAAGCTCACTCCCGCAGTCAGGAGCTTTAGCGCCTGCCAGTCCAAGCTCGGCCTGCTGAACCCATGAAGCTACGCTGCTTCCTGAAAACGTCACCGAAATGAAGGAGCAATCCAAAGACAGTGCTGCAAGTTTGGCAATGTCCACCGCCTCAGTCTCAGACAAAGGTTCAAGGCCCTCGAGATGGCCAGAGTTTCCAGCAAAGGTGCAGGTTGCTGAACAAGAAGCTCCCATCGATTCTGAATCTCCCAGACCCGTGGCCAAAGAAATGCACCGTATTTAAAAGGGGTTTGCCCCCTCCAACAAGACGGAAAAACGGGCTTCACGTGGAGAACTGGGCTCCCAGAACGTTTGAGCCAATTCGTGTCCAAACCGTGACTTTAGAAACTCCCAGCATGGTTTCATCGAAGAGGCTCGGGAAACATGTGTTTACACAACTCCCTCGCCACCTTTAAAGGACCAAAAGGAGGCTGTTTCATCTGCCACTGGCTTTTGATCTTCGAGGAAGCCCCCTCCCTACAGGTCTGGAAAATGAGAGGGTGACCATTCTGGTGAGCTTGCTTTACAAGTGAGTCAGCTCACCAAACAAATCAGCAAACCATATGAGTCAACGTGTTTGGACAACAATACTTGTCTGGGTGCATTCATTCCAACGTTAGGACGTCTGGCATCGTTTGTTCATGTCTTTGGGGCTACTGCGTTTTTGACGTCCCGTATCTTGTTTCGAGAACAAAAACAACATGTGTATGAAACACTCCTACATGAAGTAAATGACGGTAATTTTGAAGCTGACTCAAACACTTTTCAACCAGTTCCCGTCGAACAGGAGACCGCCGAACCGTATCGCCTCGCCTCAACGCTTGCAGGTTGGCGGCTTCCTTGTGAAACTCTGCCAAGTTCTCCTGGCGCTGGAAACCGGGAAGCGAAACAGAATCGGAATCTCACTTGAGAGTCGAGAGTGTCCTTGTTTTTGGGGGATGATGGTGTTCCTCAACTTCCCCTTGTGTAAGGTTGGTTCTGCTTGTGGTGCCTTAAGGTGGATTTGTGATGGTGGTTTAGAGCTGGTTCTGGGACGAAAAACTACGACAAGTCACGAAAACCGCACAACGGGTTGTGGGCTTTGCGGGGGTGGGCTCATAAGAACACAGATAAGGACACCAACAGAGAAACTGAACACTGGCAGTTGTTGGTGAGCTGCGGATGCGGAAAGCCAAAGCCAGAGAAGCCACCAAAAGCCGCAAAAGCCAAAACATCACCCACACAAAAATCGGAAAACAAACCGAAAAGCAAACAACACACTCCTCAAACAATTGGCCCTCCATCAACGTTCTCATTCCAGAACATCAAATATGGCTCAAGCAGAAACTGGCATCAATGGGGTCTCTGCAACACCCATGGTAAATGAGGGCGATATCTTGTTCGCACCAGTAACGAGATTGGCAGCCGACTCCTTCATAGGGCGCGATCTATAGTTAAAAAACAATAAATGCACTGTTCTTGTCAATCTAAATGGCCATGGGTCAAAATCCTGTACCCCCAGTGAACATCCCAATCCCCACTAAAATAGACTAAAACGGGTGGTGCACCTACCCCAAAATGGTACCATTGGTTTTGACCCACAGCCAAATAGAAATTCAAGGCAAGGGGAGTCAGACAAGCGCACTTGTCGCGTCCTGGGTCACCGCGCCACCGGCCACGAGATGCAGCTTCTTGATGGCCACCTTCGGTCAGGTGCTTTTGGGCCCTGTAGAGCGGCAAAAGCATTTTTGGGTCACGGGGCCCTGTTGTCGTTCGGCACGGGGTTGTTCCACCTGTTTCGTTGAGCGAAATGACACATTTGCTGCTTTGCATTGACAGCGCCGCGTGACATGGACCTCTGCTTTAGTGTGGCTGGAAGGTTAAACAAAAAAAATATGTTGCTGATATTCCTTGGGGGGCTCGCTGAAAGCCGTAGACAGGACAGTTCCGGGGCCGTAGACAGTTTCGGGGCGGCTGAACAGCCGCTTCGATTGTTTTTGTTGCGCTGGCGGACGTCCAAAGATTGTTGACTAGCTGGTTGGAACGCAGACCTCCAATTCTTTTGTGGGAGTGCACCGGTTGACAAAATGTTTCATAACCAATCTACGGGTGGTCCCCTTTGACAAATGACTATTTTGATGAATGGAGTGGGCTTGTCTTTCATCATTCTACCGCATCTATGATGTGTACTGGGTTTGCCTAGGGTTCCTGAGATGTTGAAAGGTGGCACATAAGCTTTCCAGTCAGCGGACCGCTGCTGTGAACCCGTTGGCCTTTTCGGGAAAAGCTCGGCATACCTCCAAAGGAACCCTGCAATCTGCATGCACATTTACTGGGCTGTTCAAAACTGCTTTGCTGCTAGTGGAGAGATCTCTGCAAAGAGAACCCTTTCGTAACCCAGGGTGAAGATTAGAGAAAAAACAGTTGTACCGGGAAGGCTAGTCCTCATAGGCCAACTGGGTACGGGATGTGGGGATGTGGAACATCGCTCTTGAAGCTTTGGTGTCACTGAGTCACACATAGTCAACACCTGGTATTGCAGGAGTCTACCCACCCGGGTTTCAATTGTGGCTCAATTCATCCGGAAAGGGTTTTGGAGGTATGGAGGCGTCTCTACCACCACTACGACTTTCTCAGGCCCTTGTAGAAGTGGTTCTACTACCTCCAAGAGAACCGAAATCCCTGAGATCCTCGATGAACAGAGAACCAAGCGTTCTGGAAAATGACACATGGTCATGCACCACAAAATCAGGGAAGCATGAGTCTGACGTGATTGTTTAGCACCCAGATGGTGAGAAGGCTGAAGGAATTTCGAGGGGCCTGTGAAGACGTTGTCGATGGTTTTTTTTACCTGAGGGATTTGGGCGGTCTGAAATCAGACAGATTGCAAGTCGGCGAACTGGACTTGGTGTTGTGGTTCTATTTTTGGCATTTGTTCTGGGCAGATTCAATTCGGCTGTGCCAATTTGACTTTGTCTCGGACTAAAGTGACACCCTCAAAAATGCCCTCTAAATGGTCGTTTAAAGGAAAGCAGTCAAGTACATTTGAGGTCCCCTCAGTGACTCAGAATGTTCACCTCAATGGCCCGAGTTCATACACACATTTTGAAACAAGGAAAGAAATAAGGAATCCCCAAGCAAGGACAGCTTGCTCCCCCTTGTGAGTGTGGCCCAAAATTGTGGATACACCTAAACCAACATACGAGTAATCTAATAGTTTTTTAACCAGCGCACCCCCAAAGGGGGCCTACCGAAATCCAGTTCCCGACCTTCAAAACCGATGGCAGGACTCACCCACATCGGTCCCCCCCCTCCCCCCCCTCCCCGGGCAAACGCTGCGCATCGAGTAAGCACTTCGCTCTGCACCGATTTTGGTTGGGACAGTCTTGGAAGCTTCCATCCCGACTCCGCTTCCCTTGCCTCCTGAAAGCCAACTTCTGGAACACTTAGCTTGAACCTTTGCAGGAAAAGTAAGTAAACCGCGAGTTGTCTAACGCAGGGGGTCTCTGGTTTCAACGACCCGTAATGGGACACCACTACGAAGGATGCCACTAGCAACCCAGCGACAAGCAATTCAGGACATCTTCAAGATTCAACACATGTGTGTCTTCTGAGCTTCATGTTCTTTCTTTTTTTCGGGGTGGGGGGGGAGGGTGCCAAATTCCTAAAAGAAGTCCAAGCGTCAGCCCGCCCTTCCCCCGCAACCCCGCCTCTTTGGGAAAGCCCCGCAGCCAGCCCCGGTGCACGGCACCAAAGCCGCCAGCGCCCAGAAGCTGGCAATGAGATGTGTTCCCGAGAGATGTCCCAGCCAAAACCCAGGGAAAACCCACATGGGCCATGTGGTTACTGACCAGGGGAATCGAGGGGCAAATAAGTACATATTCTCAAGCAAATGGAAGGTGATGTTCCCGACCAGCAAAATAGAGCTGGGAGAGAGGAGGTAAACACATCAACTCACCCATGGGATCCCGTGGTGATGTTTAACACCACCAAACAATGGCAGACTATAGGGAGCCCCGAAATAGAAGCCGCTTGAAATAGAGCTTTGCAACATGGCAGGGTTTCGGCGTAGCTCGCTTCATACCTGCCTGGACAAGTGGATCTTGTTGCTACAACTAAGTGGACCAGATTTGACCGCCTATTTGAGTCAACTAGTGCTGACGCGTCTCCTTTTCGAACGTAATTCCCAATGGACCTTTAGGCCTTTGGGTGGGCGTTCCACCTCTTGGTCGGTGGCTCAAGAATCCGGGACTCAGAGCCAGAGCGTTTGAGCTGTTGCAACTGGAACCCATAGGCGTTTAACACAAAAAGTCCAGGAGCTCGGGAAGTGAGCCAATGGTTCCCCAGACTTTGCTTGACCTTCCCAAACCCGCCTCGCCCATTTGCAGGTCCGAGAGGCGCAGGCCTCAGCTGGAGGAGGGGGGGGGAGGGCTTGTTTTAAGGGAGTTGAATGGGAACAACGCCCATTTTGGAGTTGGAGACAAACCCAAGAAGAATTCCTGCTCGAATTTCAAGGGTCCACCACTCTTTAGAAGGGTGTGTGTGTGTGTGTTTGGAAGAATCAGGAAAACACAACCAGTTATTGGTTCAGCGGAAACATCACCCTTGGTAGAGAAAGGGCACCCTAGGGTTGACATGATCACCCACCAAACAACCAGGGGACACGTCAACTCAGGGGTGCTACCGGCCAGGCGAAAGGTGGAAGTTTGTGTAGCACAAAGCGCCCGTTCTATCCAAAGTTGGCTTGGTCATTCGGAAAAGGGAAACAAAAGGAGCGCTTTGACCACGCTGCGAGCTACCTTTGTGGTTTGTTCATAGCAGGCACACTTACCTGAGATCGGCCAGAGCCAGACTACACATCGATGGGCATAAAAAGTGCACCGGGTATTGAAGATATGCGAAAAAGAAGAAGAAAAAAGGTTCAAACGATTCCCCCCTCGCCCAAGTTGACGCGTTTCCGGTCGGGAGTACACCTTACTAACCTTGAAATATTGTTTGGCGTTGGTACCCTTTTCACCCTGCATGAACTGAAGCCATTTCTTTTGGGGTGCCCCGAAACAAAAGAAACACACGCTGTTGGAAAGAGGCTACATGTCCACAATCAAGTTTCACCCCAGGCAAGGTTTTCAGAGTTCCTTCCAAGAGTAAATGGCTCCCTCTAAAATCTAAAGTCAACCCCCCCAAACAGACTCAGCCTCTTAGACACCTTCGCGCAAGCTCCCGGCCCGGCATTTGCACCATCCCTGCGATCGGACATCACGGTTTGATCAACCCCGCATGCGGTCAGGTCGCGGGGAGGATGTCAATCCTGATTCTTTGGAAGGATGAAAGTAGGTACCTATTAACAGTCCTGTTCATAGCTGAATGGCAGGGAGTCGAGTTCTGCTGTTTGCAGATGTAGAAACATTGCTGGGATGTTGCCAATGGTTGTATATCTTGCATCAGTGCTGAACAGGCAAAAGCCATATTGAACTTGCGGGAACCATCAGCATTTGTTATTCAAGGCAACATGGCTCAGGAGACTGTATTTGGCTATGAGCTTCATGGAGAACCCAGCAAAATGGCTAGCGAAAGAAAATTCCTGTCTAAATGATGTTCCTGACTAGAATTGCCACCCCTATATTACATCCCCATCTACCGGTGACGCCAATCGAATTCCATGTGCCGGCCCGTCTCCACCTGACTGTGGTGAAAAGTGTCATCAGGAAGGGTTCCAAATCCAGAAGTGGTTCAAGACAGATTTCTTCAAAGAGCCAGGAGATTCGTGGAATGATTTCTCGCATGCATATCCTCTCGTCGCAAAAACAAAAAAACACTGACGTTTAGCTCTCCGCGCCCGAGCCAGCAGGCTTCTTTGCAGGGCTGAAAATGGCTGAACAAAAACAACTCCTGGCGCCCGCAAAAAGGAAAACGCAAGGAGGTTCTTAAAACACTAGGTCGGGGCAAGTTTGTTTAAACAACCAGGCCGTGGCACAGTTCCTCAACAGAAAAACCAAAAGGAGGTTGTTTAGGACAGCGTGGTGGATTCAACATGTTCAAAAAGGAGTGCTGACCCCTTCCTGCTTCTTTGGGCTGACCCATGTCTGTATGGGGGGGCTGCCCCAAAAGCAGGAGCACACTATGGTGAGGGCCCCAAGACCCACCTCTGCCCCTGTGGCTCAAACTTCGGGGCAGCCATGGCCCCAGAAGTGTCAACCATTCTTGACGCATACACTGAGTCGCAATCAAAACCTGGTATTAAAATTGTCCACCCAGAATCATAACATTCACTTTCCTGGGTTTGGCTCACATGACTTAACTTTGTTTTACCCCACAACCCCGTCCTAATTGAGGCAACAGGGTTCGTCTAGGTCTCTTGTAAGCGTCAGCCCAAGGACACTCAAATTTGAAGGTTCAGAATCGTGGTGTTGATCCAACCACCAAACGGGCTCCGGGGGCTGATCGGGACAGCTCAACCTTCCTGGGCTTGGATTCGTTTGGGAACCGCAACCACCAAAGCATCAAGAGGGACACCGATACAAATCCCCGAGCCGCCATCCCAACCCCTTTCGACAGCCTGGCTGCGGCTGAAAGACTGGCTGTGGCCTCAGCGCCGCTCGCGGTGTGGCGTTCAGGGCGGGCGGAAGATCCCCACATGGCTGCTGTCTAAGGGGCTCTCCAAAGAGATAAAGGATTGAGGGACTCCTGATGGTGTTTCCTCCAAAGCCCAACGTTTGCCTCTTCAAACGGGACAAGTGGAGAAAGCCTTGTCACAAAGTAAATTGCATGCTGCATGTTTGCTAGCTGCCTGGATGGATTTGCCTGAGCATCTTTCTGTTGGCAGACTGGCTCATCTCCTCCTTCAGCAGCCTCTTGCACGCTTTCCGCCAGCACTGCTCAAAGCTAGAATTGGCCGGGAGCGGCACAAAAGCTTCCACCTCGACCAGCTTCCATGCTGTCCGGTCATGCGAGTGCACTCTGAATGTTCACATGTGTGGTTCCCAATGGATGGAGCGCCAGGGCCTCCCCAATCATATCATCAATGGCATTCAGGATCCAAATCGCCCCCAACAATTCGTCTCTGTCGACAGCGAACTTTGTCCGTCAGCATGTCGCAAGCACGTCTCAAAATCAGATTCCTTTTTCTTTTGGTGTCGCTTTTCAGAACCTCAGAAAGGGTTCCCTCAAAATACAAACATAGAAGATGCACAGGAACCGGTTCCTGGATGACCATCTTGCTTTTAGGGGGACCAGTTCTCTGTGCATGTTCTAGGTTTGTTTTTGGGAGGGTACCGAAAACATGGAGAGGGGTCCTGGGAGGCAATCCTTTCCATGAAACTTGCATGTCAACTTGGTTCTGCATCTGGCTAGTCTCATGCTCTAAAAAAGACACACCGGAAAAATCCTTGGCACAGGGGCTCCCGCCTTGGCAAAGTGACCTACTGCAGTGCTCTCAGAGGGCCAGGCTTCAAGATTTGCATGGGCCCATTGCATGGGGGAATTGCGGCGGGTACAGAAATTTCATTCCATCTGGCTCGCCTTTGCTGTTTTAGGGCACCCCCCAACTTTCCTTTTGGCCGTCTGAGTAAGCCACAGAAGGGTAGCCTCGAAAACATAGAGGCGCATGTCACGTGTCTCTGCTCCCCCAGCTTCCTATGGTACGTGGAGTGGAACTGGGTAAGGCAAGCGAGGGTTCCTCCCAAAGACCCGATACTGCGGCAAGGATAGAGAGAATGGGTTCTTGGTAGGAAGCCACAGGAAACAAATCCCAGAGTTCCACTCCTTTTTTCTTGCAAAGAGCAAGCCTGAGGTACTCAGTCAGAAGCTCAGTGGGGAGAAAAAGGCTTTGTTGCTGCTTCCCCCCTCCACTTTCCAATAGAATTGGACGTGGCTCACTATTGCCCAGCGGAAAAGAGGCACCTATTTTGAGTGATTTTAGAGCGGACATCCCCCTAAAAAACAACACAGCAATCCACTGGACAATTGGGAGCATGTCCACGGGAAATTCAAGCTGCAAGGCACGACTTTCCACTCTATCCACCCCACAGACAGGTCGAATGTTTTGGATGCTCAATCTGCAGTTGCGATCAATGGTCTTTCTGTTTGGTCCACACCAACAATGATTCTGGGCCTGACTGAATGGCGTGCCACAGAATGAAATCAACGAAGTCCTGGCAGGCATCCACATCCATTGTCAGATCAAGATGGCTTCTTTTTGGACCACCTTGATATGGATTTCCTCATGTCCCTTTAAAACCACCCCAAAAGGGCCACCCGCAGGGGAACCCACCCCTTGACCCACCCCACCCCACCCAGCCATGCAGGTCCTTATTCGAGGCAAGGCCCGGACGCACGAATGGAACACGGCCTCCGGAGGAGTTTCTTTTTTTGTTGTTACGCCGCGAAGTCTCGCACGGAAAACTCATGCGAGGGAATGGAATTGCGCATGGCTCATGGTACTCAATGGCCATTCGCCCACGGACCCTTGACATGCCACACATAGACTCGGGCAACAAATCCACACATATCAGGCTGGTTCCCTGATGGGTTTCATCTTGAGATAGAGTCAACATGCAAAAGGCCATATTGTGTTGTAGCTTGATGATATCTAGAGAACACCCTAGCTGATGATAAATGGGCCGTTGTTTGAAGGGTATTCTTTTCAGGTTGGCTTGTCATGCAAACCAAGAGGGACACAGATTCCCAGCCTTTGATCTAAATCTTACAAGCTCTATGGGCACTCTATTGGAGCTCTTGACAACCAAGCGGGTTTCAACTCACTAAGAGGGGTAACCCAAGGGGGACTTATAAGTGGGTTATAGCCTAGGTTAGCAACTTACCAACTTGGCAACGAGCACCCAAGTAGGAACAGCGATCTTATCTTAGTTTTGTATGAGCCTCGCTCATAATATTCAGTCTCCGTGTCACTTCGCAAGCTACGCGACCATACTTGGAAGCAAAAGGGGGCCCAGCAGAAGACTCGAGACAAACCACACCGGAATGAATGATTCCACGGCGGCACCCGTTTCTAGTCGCGGATTGGCTTCCTCTGAAAACCATCCAAAAAGAGTGAATTATTTTGCTTCGCTGTAGCTCAGTTTGGCCCCCAAGCAAAATGCGATTTTGAATATGGTCCTGTGTAGTAGAACCTTGAAATGTGAAACAACTTCAAAAGAGATCCTAGGCTGTGTGACGAGTGTGTATTTGTCGCAGCACGGTTACTTTTTGAGTTCCTCGTCTCCCCTGCGTGGCCTTGACCCCAAACCAGCGCAACTCCTCCTCCTTATCAGTGCCGAGTTTGGAAGCGAGTCCACCCGCTCCCCGCCTTGGCCCAGCGCCCGGGCCCGGAGCTGGCGAAGGGATGACGTTTTGTGACTCATAGGCCATGAAGCTCCCGGCTGAAAAGGCCCCGAATAACCCCTAGTCATCACTAGTAGTCATTTCTTTTCAGTGGCTGCGATTGACATGGCTCTGAACCAACATGACACATGGGCAAACAAACACGAGATCCTCCAGCCAAATTCCGCAAGAACTCATAGGCATGTGGCTCCAGCTGGACCGCTGGAGGGTGAGGAGAGCCTCCCATCGATTTCTCAGCCCATAGAGACCCAGAGGAGGTGTGGCATCGAGCCTGGGATCGTGTTGCTTGTTCCTTGTGTCAAGCTTGGCGTAGTGCAAAATAGTTGCCCAACAAAAAAAAGACGTTGGATCGGAGCTCTATACTTTTTCCCAAAGCTAGAGTTTGACCCTGAAGTTTGGGGAAATCAACCAGCCCTGGGCTCGAGTTTAATTCAAAGTAATCAAACGTTTCGGTGTGTCTCAAAATGGTGGAACCCCCAAAAGGTGGTTGACCTTTTGTTGCTCCGTTGAAGCCACCGAAAAAATGGGCTACCCCCGAAACAAAACAAAAAAACACCCCCGTTTCAACTCTAAGTGTCAACAAGATTGGGGCATTGCGGCACGGCCTTTGCACAAAGGTGATGGCGGCATTCGTTCATGATGACGAGCGGTTCCAGCCAGCCGAGGGGTAACACGAACTCATCCACAAGGGTCCAATACGGGGTCCTTGCTTCTGGATGGTGATTTCTACTATGTAAGTTTCCCAGATATTTCCCTGATTGGCGAGCTGCAATCTAAGTAGAAAAATTGCTTGGTCCCACTTGACATTGCTCAATCTTGTCTAAACAGGGCTACTACATGCTTTGACATGCGGTAAACGCACAGACTTACTGTAACACGCAGCAAGGATTTGTCAATGTTGCAGGGGATTAGTTGATGTTGACGAATATTACCTGTGTCCTTAAAGTAGACGCTGTTGAACGGAACTCATCCAAATGGATTTGTTTGCCGAGGAAGAACGGCTAATCCGACCGTGGACCCCTTGGACATCTGCGCCGGGAGGGGAAGGGTTTATGCCCCTTGCAGCATCCGAGCGGAAACACCGTTGTTGCCTTCCTCAAGGTGGTCTCTCAAAATTATTGGAGCAGGGTACCTGGCAATGGCTGCGTTGAGCAGACTTTGCACCATACATCCAAAAGCTGATTAACAAGTAAAGGACTTTCAGCATGGTTTTCGCTTGTTTACCACCGCATTGGTGAGCTCGCTTTAAAATGGGCAAATATACTTCTGTCCGTCCTCTCCTAACTCTCTCTAAAAGGTGAACAGGGCACCATAACTAATGGAACAAATATTGACATAAATAATGTACATATATATATATATATGGTTATGTGAGACACGGTCAAAATGGTTTGTTTTCCCAAGAGGCCATGGGACATTCTTTTGGGGGGTACTGGATAATTTTAGAATTTCTCCTAAAACGACCATTTGATCGAACCGCATACTACGCGGAAAGAAACAACAACATGTATGTTCAAAATCTGTCTCATTTAATGCCTACCAGCTAGATATTGGTTTGTCTCAAAATAGGGGACCAAACTGGTGGCTTTCCCTGTGGCTTCCCTTTAAAACCAACCCAACAATGAGTATCCTGAAAACAAGACCCCTCTTGTCGTAATTGTTTTCATTCTCGATTTTCTTGTCGCAGTTGTTCCTGTGGTTTGGCGGCCCGCCAATCAAACAAAACAGATGGGTCTCTGTGTGTGTATTTTTCTTGAGGGTCACCCCCAAATTGTCGGGTAGGTTTCAAGGCAAACCATGAGGTTCAGCCCCAAAAGCGACGGCCTGGAGGGCCCGGAAGCCGTGGTAGCACCTCCGAGAGGTGGTGCCGGTGGGTGCGGGGTGAGGGGTGGGGTGGGTGAGGTGGGGTGGGGGGTGGTGTGGGGAAGCTGGGTGGGGTGGTAAGGTGGGGTGGGGTGGGGCGGGGGGGCGGGGTGGGCTCCAAAACCCAGCTAAAGGAAGCTCACTCTAAAAGCGCAACCGAAAGGTGATGGTTTCTCTGGCCAACAAAAGATAAAAATATAAGAAATGCTGACTTGAAACATGAGTTGGCCAAACGCCAAACGCCAACCCCTTTGTTTAATCATGTACAACCATTGTTTAAATACAATCTTGTTGGTTTCCCACTTAAGGGGGCGAGGGTTTACTGACGAACAGGCACTCTCCGATCATCATTTCAAGAACCAAAGAAGGCGAGCCATTCTCGTAAGAAACTTCACCCCTCTGCCCAGCCATCAACATGGTTTTCTCTTGGATTTCCCCCAACCAATGCAAGCGTGCCCTCTATTTAAGGTAGATGATTGTGGGAACCCCACCAAGACTCGAAGGGTAGAATTCACTGAGCAACTGAGCAGCTGACTAATGTAGAAGTTCAAAGTTGTTGTTCCCAACAGGGCATGGGCGAATTGGACTGTCCTTCTGCCTGTGGGAAATTGGGTTGCCCCAAATTTAACGTCCTCCCGAAACCAAAAGTAAACCACCAACAATTATATCAATTGCTGATATGAAGGTTGCGCAGCTCGTGCATAAAAGGCATATACTGCCTTATGAAGCTATTTGTTTGGTAATAAAGCCCTCCATACCTCATAAACCCCATTTCTGGCATTGCCTTCGCACTGTGACCCCGGACCAAGGGGGAAGCCACCGGCGTGATCGCCTCGGGGCGAAGTCCAAGGGTGTTGATGCAGACCCCTTTTGCATACAGCGACCTCAAGCGGCTTGCTGATGCTCATACCCCGCTCCCAAAAGGGTTTTTTGTCCATGATGAAGTGGGAGACACAGAACACTCCCGCTACCCACTCGCAGGAAGGCATTTCAAAGAACGGTGGCAGCGTTCTCGCCCGGTTGCCCCATGGGCATTTGCCATGCCTATTGTCCTCTGATTCTTGAAGGTCCCCGAACAACAAAAAAGACAACACATTGACCAACAAGTCTAGGTCCTCCAGTAGAGAAGTTAGAATAAGTGTACCTTTGTTTTTTTTTCTGTAGTCTATTTTTATAGGGCAACCCTCCCCCCAAAAAAATGTAAAAGGGCACTACTGGGGGACCTACAAGTGGAACCCAACGACTCCGAAGATTGAAACCGGAAAGCGGCACACACAAGCTGGCCCTCCCGGGCAACTCCCAAGGCGCTTGAGATCTGTGCAGCCACCCGCACCGAGCCGGGCAGTGATCCTCCTTTCGGGAAAAACCAAGCCTTTATTCGATTATTCACCTAACGAACCGCGAAAACAATAGTTTACTTTTGAGAACATTGACAAACTCACTTTTTGTTAGGGGCCCCCAAAAATGGTGGATGTCCTTTGGGTTTCCCTTTGAAGCAACCGAACAAGGGTACCCTCAAAACAGACACACCCAAACAAGGGGGACCAAACAAGTTAGAACAAGTTGAAGGGCCCGACAGCTGACGACTGAGCTAGAGGGAATCAAGGCAAACCATGCTTTTCGCTGAGCATTTGAAGCGTGCGAATTGAAGGACTTGCCCCCATGGCCATATGTGCCATTGGGCAAACTGAGGCTTGGTCAACATTTCAAGTAGAATATGCGTGTGCGTCTCTGTCGGGGACGCCCCAAAACTGTGGTTGTCCTTTTGGTTTCCCTTGAATTGAACACCAACCCCAAAAAAGGGATGCCCGCCAAAAAACCACACCCGCATGTGTTCAACGGGTTGGCAAATTTCATGGAGAATTTCCGGCAGCTGGCGTCTGCCATAGTTGCTCTTTCACAGCCCCTCACATTTTCATGCTCCTTGGAACGCACGCCACTAGTGGAGCGACACTTTTTCGACCCAAACGAAGAGTACATTTACCGTCATCTCCCTGCTGAGAGAAACCCAACCGACACACAAACAGACGGCCAGCCACACAAACACCAAGAAAAACAAAGCAAAGGAAAAACAAAACCTCATGCCAAAAGCAACCAAAAGCATTGGAAACACAGAGAACACAACTAGCTACAGCCTACCTGCCAGGTTGTCCTGCCTGCCGCGCCTGCCAACCCTTGCGCAGAAATGGGCCATGGCTTCTGGCGATAGGTGGATATGTAAGGCTTGAAGCAGGTTTATGGGCACTGTACTGTCAATCATAGTCTGTGGCAAGATACGCAAATCAATGCGCTACTTCCCCAACTGGAAATGGTGGAAGCCCCCAGTAAGGACCTTCATCATGGGTTGTTGCTCCTTTTGAGCCCCGAATCGGCAAGCTCCTTTATCCTTTGCCCTTATTCATGCCAAGCAGCCGGAGTCTTGGCCTGGCGTGATCTGGGCGAACTGCACTTCAACCGTCTGACATCAGCCGCATTTTGCCAGCTCCAACAACAAGCTGCGGGCCTTTGGCCACGTGCACAACCAATGGCAAGGGGTACAGCAGCATGTGCAATTGATGCGTGGGTAACTGTAAATGTATAAATGTGTGTGTGTGTCCCCGTGTGGTTCTTACGCTCACCTTGTGGTTCTTTACGAATGCGTTCACACGCGCGTGCGCGCGAGAGTACGTGCATCTATGTATGTGCGTACGTATAAATGCATGTGGGTAGGCAGGTATGTATACATGTTTCTGTGAATGTGTGTGTGTGTGTGTGTGGGTGTGTGGGTGTGTATGTGTGTATTGTGTGTGTGTGTTGAATGTATGTGTGCGCATGTGTATGTGTGTATGTGCGTAAGCATATTGGCACAGTGCGTAGGCAAGTCCATACGTCCGTAGGTTGTATGTGCGTATGTATGCATGCATGCATTTAGGTATGTATGTATGCAGGCATGTAGGCATGCAGGCATGTAGGCATGCAGGTATGTAGATATGTGACAATGTATGTATGTAGTTATGTGTATATATGTATATATACATGTATACATGCATGCATGCATGCATGTATATAGCCATGCAGGTATGTAGGTATGTAGGTCTGTAGGTGAAGGTATGTATGTATGTATGTACGTACGTACGTACGTACGTATGTATGTGTGTGTGTGTGCATGTATATGTATATGTAAATGTCTATGTATATGTATACGTAAATGTTATTTGTGTGTATGTGTGTATGTGTATGCATGAATCTATGTAGGTAGGCAGGCAGGCAGGTACTAGGCGCCCGCCCTAAGTCACATCAACTGTCCAAAAGTAACCTCACTGCATGGGCACGCTGATTCCAACAAAGTCACATCAGTTTTGAAAAGCCACATCAAACATCACAATTCCCAATGGGCACGCGGTCTCCAAAGTAGTCTTTTGAAAGCCTCCAAGGGTTAAAAACTGTACTATTTTGCATGGAACACAATCATGTCTACATAGATCCTGCTTGAGCAAACCAAAGGTTCCCCATTGGGCACGCAACCGCACGCACACCCAAAATGCATCCAATGAACAGGCCTTGTTTTGTCTCGCTTCTCATGCCAGCTTTGGCTTGCACACATACCGCAAGCTGCGGTTGTGCTCCCAACACTTCAGCCAGCCTTCCCGAGTGCTCTTTTTCATGAGCACCCTGGTCGCAATGATCTCTTTTCGGACCAAAGACGAGAGCGGGCTGGCTTTGCTGCCCTTCTTTTGCAGATCTTGCACGTAGAACTTGACGATCTTCTCTATAGCTTTTCGCTGAGACTCCTTCCAGTGACTGAGGATGTAAGTGATCACGTCGGCACCGTCGTCCAAGTCCAGGTCATCTGAAGAGCTACCCTCTTCTTTGCTCCCAGGCTTTGGCTTCTTCAGAGCTGGTGTGGCAGGCGCCGGTGTGGCAGGCACCGGTGTGGCAGGCGCCGGTGTGGCAGGCGCCGGTGTGGCAGCCGGTGTGGCAAGCGCCGGTGTGGCAGGCGCTGGTGCGGCAGGCGCGGCCTTCCCCTCGCCGGTCTTGTCCTCGTCGGCCTTCTTTCTCTTCCTCATCTCTCCAAGCACGTCCCCACAGAACTTGGAGATGTGCGCTTTTGCAGCCGGCTCCACGCCTGCAACCACAGCATCGACATCTGCCAGCGGTTGCTGGGTCCGAGTGTAGCCACCTGCGCGTGCACCGGCAGACACCACACTGCGGATCTCATTGTAAGACGAATTCGTCTTGCCGCACCAAGGACACTTTGGGTACGCAGTGGGGCATTGCTTTTGGCATTCAGAGCACGTTGCCGTCTGCGGCGCTCGCCGGTAGCCGGTGGGGCGAGCCAACAGGAGCTTGCTTTCAGCTTGCTCCACGTCCATCTCCTCCTTGCTCAGCACCTTGCGGAAGAGCTCCTGGTGGCGTGTCACCAGCACGGTGTTTCTGGAAATGGCACAGTCGAGCACGAAGCCTGTTTGCTTCCAGCCAGAGAGAATATTCTTCTCCTCAGCTTGCGCCAACTGCGAACCAATTTGACTCCCAGCACTCAATGGACAAGGCAAGTAAAGCAGTAAAAAGAAACCTGATCAACAAAACCGAGCGTCACAGTACCCAGCGCTCCATACTTCATGAGCGCAATCTAGTGCTTCGAAGTGCGTGGAAGCACTGCCCTGCCGCCGGCAGTTTTCCCACGCCCTCTCGGCAGCGGCGTTGGGCAGCTGGTCCAAGGGCATCAACGCCCTTGTCAAGTAAGGCCCCAAAATGCACAGCCGGATGCCCAATTGGTGAGCGACCAATGTAAGCTCCACTGACATGTGGATCAGGGACCCCCCTCCGCTGTCGCACAAGAGCACCAGCTGCTGTTCTCGTGGCACCTTGAGAACATCTCGGCAGTGCTTCTCCCATAGAACCACAAACTCCGTGAAGAGCTTCGCGGTGCAAGAGCCATGCTCAGTGGCAGCTATGTTAGCTGATGGCCAAACCGCATCCCAGGCTTTCATACGGGAAGTGCCACTCATGATGATGTTTGCTGGCCCAACATCTCCCCCGACACTGACGAATGGAAGAAGAGTCACGTGGCCAAACGAGGCAGAGCCGATGTCAGTGGTGGCCTGCGGCAAGCCACGTGGCGCCACCACCCGCTGGAACTTGATCTTGCCTTCGTTGGAGACCAAGCCCTTCTCGTCGCAACACCAAAAGGCTTTGGAAGCTGCCGGGAGGAGCTTTCCATCCTTGTAGAGGTTCACCTCCTCCAACAAGGTCTGGATTTTGTCGAACATCTGGCTTACAGCAGCAGGCGTGCACGATGCGGCCACTTCGCCCTTCATGGAGAAAAGCCTTCTCTCTCGCATCTGCCACTCCTTGGGATACCGCTCTGCGACCCAGTCTTGCCAATTTCGCCAGCTCTTGGTCACATCCTTCGTGTACCTGGGCTCAAACGCTCCACTTTTTAAGCAAAAACCAACGACTTGACGCAGAACTTTGGCCCCCTGAAAAGCTCGGCCAAGCGTCTTCTCATAGTCCTCAAGCCTCGGGGGGCCAGTCTCTTCCAGCTGCTTCGTTGTCAGCACGCCCTCGTTGAAGAGGTGGTAGCGCAGTATGCATTGCTTCACTTCGGCAACTGACAACGTTTTGTTGCTCAGTGCCCACATGACGCAGTGCGTGTGCAAGTGAGCCTTCTGCTTGTCCGTCATGAAGCCAGACCCATGGCGGCCCACCTGGAACTGCTCCGGCACAGCATGGATGTCAAGACCTTCTGTCCGGCAAGTCTTGACATGGGCCATGACCTTGCTGAGCTTCAGCCTGTTGACTTTCCAAGCCTTGAAGTGTTTCTCTGCATCTGTGAAGTTCATGTCCAGCACCTTGCGCTCCAGCAAGGAGGCGCAGTCCAAATAGAGGAAGTAGAAGTCAGTTGCATTCGATAGCAGGGTGGAGGGGCTGGGGTTCTGCAAGTGGCGCCAGCGTGCGGTGAAGGCACGCATGCTGTCCACGCGCTCCGCGAATCCCTGCTCACTCGCTTTGGGCTTCGGCGCCTCCTAGGCTTGCAGAAGACCGAGGGGAAAACAGGTGGGCGAAGTAGATATGTACAAGAAAGTAAACGCGATAACGCATGTTGCCCACGCTTTGGCACCTGCAGGCTCACGGCAGGCTCGTCAGCGTTTTGGACAGGCTTCTCCTCACAGAAGTCTGTGTAGCTCTTCTTCCAAGCTTCTTTGTCCGCGTCCGTCATGTCTTTCCACACCTGCAACGCCTGCCGGCCAGCAACGGTAGCGCCGTCAAAAGAGGGCCCCACAGTTGCGCAGACTTTCTGGAACCAGGTTGTCCAGGAACAGCGTTTTGGCCGCCCGCTGCGTGTGAGAACGCTGCTGTCGCCCTCTTCTCGTAGTGGAGGCGCTGCTTGCGCCGCAGGTTCCGGGGGAGATGCTTTTCTGGCTGCCAGCTCTTTGTCAAAACACGACCTGCACCAGTGTGGCAGGACGCTGGATTCCTCGGCTGAGAACTGTTGTTCGCACCCAGCGCACAGGTCATCTGGCGGTGGACCCGCTGGAGGCGGAGCCGGAGGCAACTCGGAAGGAGCAGCATCAGCAAAGTCTTCAGCAGCTGCGGCAAGGCCACGCAAAACATCCAGCCCCTCTGCTGTTGCAGTTGGGGATGACTGAGGGGCAGCCAGCGCTGCGACAGGTGCTTGGGAAGACGAAGAGCCGCTGCCGCTGTTCTGCTCCCCTTGAGCTCCTCAGCAAACACGAACAGAAAAATCCAGTCGGGATGAGGGGGCCTAGCGAGGTCTGTAGCGAGGTTCAAGCGAGGTCCAGACCGTGTCACCACATGTCATATCAAGACAACTGCCCACTTGTGCCAAAACAAGGCTTGGGAAGAATGCAATCCAGGAATGGAACTGCCAATAAAACGGTTGTCACTCAAAAGGTCTGAGAAGCGGTTGGTAGGCGCAGCTCCAGAAGCGACAGTGATCTTGCGAGCCAGTCGCCCTCTCAGCTCCAGGTCCAAGTCGTTCGCAAGGTCATATGGCACTTCCCACTCATCTAAGGCAACGATCAAATTGCCAAAGCTCAGACGTGTTATCTGAGAGCTCGTGTATCGTTTCGGTGGCATGGTGAAACCTAACGGCTAGCGGGTCAAAGTTGCATATTTTTTGTCTGGAGCAAGCAAACTGCCACAGGCTGGAGACCAACACGCCTCATGCTGCCTCGCAACGGCAAGCACTCTCCTTTCCCCGTTGTTGGCAATCATTATCTTGTTGCCACCCCTCCGCACCACTGGGCCCATTGCAATGACTCCCCGCAAGCTTGCCAAAGACAAGGTTGTTTTGGGTTGAGGTTGCCTGATCACCCAAGAAACCGTGCGCGCTTGTCCATCATGGGCCCAGAGTGAGGCAACCCTCTGGTAAACTACGATTAGTCGACATCAGGGACCTCCTTTATGGAAGTCACACAAAAGCGGCACGTGCAGAAATCACGGCTGCCTAAACTCTGGCGCACAGCACTGCCCAAATCTTCAATGAGCTTTGTAGCGCCCGCTGCTTCCAGCACTTTCGCGGACCGAGTCACACGCAGCAGCTCGTAGCGCGTGCGCAACTATAGCAAGTGCTGCCATTGCAGCAGCGGACACCCCCGTCCCCAGACCTATACTTCCACATATGCTGGTGCTTGGGCACCTTGCATATCAAACAAGCGCTGGCTTCAGGCGGAACACCGCCCTTTTGGCAGACTGACTTGCAACTTCCGATCAACTTCAGCTGCTTGAAGACATCAGGGTATGTACGCCGCAGCTGCGAGGCCAAAGCTTGCAAAGTCATCGGTTTCGCATCCTTAGGATTCAACATCCCCAACGACCTGCGCGCTTGTAAGCGCGTGTGTCAATGCGACACTGCAAAGAACCCCCGCCACCACAACTAGCCACCACCACCACCACCACCACCACCGCAACAGCAACAGCGACAGCAACAAGCAGCAGCAAGCAGCAACAGCAGCAGCAGCAACAGCTGTAGCAGCAGCAAAAGCAGCGACAGCGACAGCAACAACAGCAACAACAGCAACGACAGCAACAGCAGCAACAGCAACAGCAACAGAGACAGCGACAGCGACAAGCAGCGGCAAGCAGCAACGACAGCAACAGCAGCAACAGCAACAGCAACAGAGACAGCGACAGCGACAGCGACAGCGACAGTGACAGCGACAGCCACAGCAACAGCAACAGCAACAGCAACAGCAACAGCAACAGCAACAACAGCAGCAGCAGCAACAACAACAACAACAAGAGCAGCAGCAGCAGCAGCAACAACAACAACAGCAGCACGGGCAACGTGCACCCGCCAAACACCACTGCAAACACTTGGAAAAACAGCAGCAGCAGCAGCAGCAGCAACAACAACAACAACAACGCAGGCAACAACAAACTCCTCCAACACGCGCCCACCAAGTTGCTGGAACTTCGACCAAACCCTTGACAGCACAAACAAAGAACAACAAAAAAGGGCTCTCACCACGACCACCACCAGCACCACCACCAGCACCACCACCAGCACCACGAGGAGCAGCAGCAGCATGCAGAAGCAGCGACAGCAGCAACGACAGCAACAACAGCAACAACAGCAACAGCAACAGCAACAGCAACAGCAACAGCAACAGCAACAGCAGCAACAGCAACAGCAACAGCAGCAACAGCAACAGCAACAGCAACAGCAACAGCAACAACAACAACAAAAAAACAACAACAACAACAACCACAACAACAACAACAACAACAACAACAACAACAACAACAACAACAACAACAACAACAACAACAACAACAACGACGACAACAACGCCAACAACAACAACAACGACAACAACGACAGCGGCGACAGCAGCGACAGCAGCGACAGCAACGACAGCAACAGCAACAACGAGGCAGCTGCAGGGGCAGCAGCAACAGCACCCGCCAAGTCGCCGGATCTTCGTCTCGCTGTTGCTGAGCACCTTGAAGGACCTGGGCAGGGAGTAGATGACGCAAACCCCGGAAGAGCAAATCAACAACAAAAACACAACCTGACCCCCGACAGGACCACTGCAGCAGCAGCACCAGCAAAAACACGAACACCACCAACAACCCCAACAACGCCAACAACAACAACGACAACAACGACAGCGACAGCAGCGACAGCAGCGACAGCAGCGACAGCAACGACAGCAACAGCAACAACGAGGCAGCTGCAGGGGCAGCAGCAACAGCACCCGCCAAGTCGCCGGATCTTCGTCTCGCTGTTGCTGAGCACCTTGAAGGACCTGGGCAGGGAGTAGATGACGCAAACCCCGGAAGAGCAAATCAACAACAAAAACACAACCTGACCCCCGACAGGACCACTGCAGCAGCAGCACCAGCAAAAACACGAACACCACCAACAACCCCAACAACGCCAACAACACCAACACCAACGCCAACAACTCCAGCACCACCAACACCAACACCACCGACGCCACCACGACCACCACCACCACCACCACGACCAACAAAACAGGACAGCCTAAAACCACACAACATAGTCTAAGCAAACGCTGTGCCGGGCCCTCTGCAATCCGCACAGCTCGGCACAAAAAAAACAGAGCTACTGGTAGCACAGAGCTGCCTTTTCTGGAGTGACCACATCACCCCACTGTCTTTTGCGAGGCGTCACTCCGCTGTAAGCCATGGCACGCCTGACTGCAGCGCTTGCTGCTTCTATAGATCTAGTGCAGGGCACGCTGAGCCGCTATACGAGGCAATTGCATGGTGCGCGCTGACAAGCGCATGCCAATCATCGAGTGGGTCCACAACAAAGATGCACCCAGAAACTGGGAATCCCCATGAGGCACGCTCATCAGATACGACTTTCGGGGTCCGATACGAGTTAGGGCGTGGACCTAGTAGGCGTGTATGTGTATGTGTATGTGTATGTGTGTATGTGTGTATGTGTGTATGTGTGTATGGATGTACAGATGTATGGATGTGTGGATAAATGGATGTATGGATGTATGGATGTATGGATGGATGCATGCATGTATGTATGAATGTATGTATGCATCTATGTATCTATGTATGTATGAATGTATGTATATGTCTGTCTGTGTGTAATGCAACTAAGCGAGCAATTAAGCAAGCGAGCAAGCAAGCGAGCAAGGAAGGCAGCAAGCAAGCACCAAGCAAGCAAGGAAACAAGCAAGCAATGAAGCAAGCAAGCAAGCAAGCAAGCAAGCAAGCAAGCAAGCAAGCAAGCAAGCAAGCAAGCAAGCAACCAACCAGGCAAGCAAGCAAGCAAGCAAGCAAGCGAGGAAGCCAGGAAGCAAGGAAGCAAGGAAGCAGTGAGTGAGCTAGATAGCTAGTGCTAAATGTCACGTGTGTGGCCTAAATTGGTCGACATCCCCAGTATCACCATCAATTTAGTATTAAACAATGTCTTGCGGTGACCAAACACAGATACTGGACAACTCTGACCTTTTAAGCTGATGACTTCCCTAACCTCTAAGTCTAACCTCCCTAAACTCCAACTCTAATCTACCTTCTCTACCTCGTAGACGAAATTGGTTGGCACCCCCAGCGTCACCAGCGGCTTAGTCGCAAAGGCGTGTGTGTAGGAACAGATGCACAGTTCAGCAAGCGTGGCACACCTGTTGGTGTCCTACATCAGGCTTGAACCAATGGCAAGCGGGGAGAACAAATAGTGTCTTTAAGCAACACAAAGCCATGTCCAACCCAGCCAGCGTCCCACAGGACCGGCTCGCAAAGCCCAAACAAGCTGCACAATCTTCCTTCCCATGCGAGGCCAGCACGTGGAGCAAGGAAAGTAGAACCAACCCCGGCCCCTCGCATCCCGACGAGCGCAACACAAAGCCCAAAGCCCGAACTTCGCTCGCGCCTCGACCCGCAAAAGCGGGGAGTCCCGCAAAACGGTCTTGTCGCAGCCTCACTGCGATGAACTCCGTGGGCCATGCGACTTAGCTATGCGTAAAGTAGCCATGCTTGCAGCCCACTTCTTGATCCCAACTAGGGCTAACCATGCAGTAAAGTCCTGCACCATCTAAGTGGCCGTCGTTTTTTCTTAGGAACCTTTAGAGATGTGGTGTGCACGCTCAAAAGCCTAGCATTGGGCACATGCCACGGGGATTTTCCTGCACTCACTTAGTCTTCGGAGCCCCGTTTGGTTGATCATAGCGAAGAGCGACACCAACCATTTGGGCGGTTCTTCGTCTTGAAACAAACCCAGGTGCGGGTGTACCTCTGAAGGTTCACACACCTCGGCCCACATCTGGAGTGCAACAAAGAAAGAGTTCAGACTTTGCTTCACATGTATCCTATACTTCCGAACATGTGCGCAAGAGATCCAGAAAGAAGGGACAGGTGCCGGCCCGGAGTCTACGTTTGCCGTCGAGGGGCCAGAAATAGACTCCCTCTGGTTCTTTGGGGGCGCGAAAGCCGGGGACATCATGTCTTAGATTCAGAAGATCCTGACAATCGTCCTCCTGCATTATTCAAGTTACTTAGGCTTAGGATCTGTGCAAATCTGCTTTGAGCACCGGTATCCCCAACCAACTTAAGAAGCTGGGGACTGTAGCCAGCACAAAGGCATCGCTGTTTGCCAGTCGTTCCAGCAAGTTTATGGCATGGCGCTCCACAAATGACTTTTAATAGTTGGGAAAGGGCCCAAGCAGTTGACGTTCCACGATTCTTGGCACACATCTTTTCTGACTATGTCCCATATGTGGTGTACCCAAACATGTGAAGTAGTATTGGAGGAAACCGCGGCTAAGAACAACTGAGTAAACATGAGTGCCTTCCTTGTGGCTACTTTCTCTGATTAAAATCCTCCAACATGCGCCCTGCAGAACTCGATCCCTTTGTGCTTTGTGGGCCATCATGATTCCCTGGGGAACCTTTACCGTGTTAGTCAAAATTCCCTATGAAAGGGTCCACCATTCAACTACCGATCCGAAGGGGTGTCGTGAGCACGCGACATGGGACATGGGGCAACCACAAGAGGCCCGAAGACCTTAGAACAAGGACAGATTTGGTCACTGAGAGCAAACCAGAGAAAATCATGCCTCTTGCTTTCTTTGGGATTGTCATCTGGGAACTCAACCCAGTCTTGGAAAAGAGGGGCCTGCAATGAAAAAACGATACCTACCTCAGCTTCCCCACCCACACATTGGTATGATTGAGTCTGGTCAATGCTTAGTTCACCTATACAATTTATATAGCATCATGTCAGTCAAGATCCCCAGAAAAGTCCCTCTCAAATTCTATGGGATCCCACAGCTGCCAGTCCGCAACCGGCTTGCCTTTAAAACCAACAAGAAGGCAACCAATAAAGATACAGCCAAGTCGACCTCGGTTTGTGCCCCGACAGGTTTGATTCTGTTCCATAAGATAGGAAAAGATCCGCTGCTCCAGAATTTCTCTGGGGCTGCCAACGCTCGCCGTTTGAGACGTACTCCACCTGAAGAGGCAGAGCAGCTCCAAACCAATTGGCTGCCGCCCCCTCCCCCCCCCCGGCTCTATGATGAAAACATGTTGCCCCTTTGCAGATCCCCGGCAAGCCTTTATGGGTAATCAGCAAAGGTCCTTGATCTTAGAGTGGTTTTGGGCTTGGTCAGCGAGCAACCCTCCATCTAGGATGTAAAAAAAAGTGTTTATCGTTTCCTCAGCCCAAGGGACCTAGAAGGAAAAGATTCACCTCTGGGGGCATTGACAAAAAGGGGCAAACCCCAAAAGCTCGATTCGCTTTGGGCGAGTGAGTTTTAGTCCAGGGCGATCTAAGATGCACGCTGACCCAGTGGTTTGCGAGAATTTGGATGGCCGATCCTTCCCAAAAGAAGCCTCCAGACTGCAATAGCGCGAGCCCATGGCCGCAGATGGCCAAGCACCATGGAGCCAGAAGGAACGGGGGGACTAAGAAATGCACTGAGGATTCATACTAGGGCTCAAAACATACGTGTTGAAAAGCATATCTGTTCGTGTGGACGCAACGCAAAAGGTGCCCCAAACATCCTTTTGCCGAAGTTAGTCCCTGAAAAAAAACAAAATCCACGAGAATCCCAAATGTCATTCAATGTATTTGCATTTGGAGGTGTAATTTATTGGTGCGCCTTTTCATTTCCCTTTTTGGGGTTGGCAGGGAGATCCAAGGGCAACACAAACAATCACTTTCTGGGGCAGTCTAAAGGTACACCAACCATTTCTGGGGTACGTGCCCGCGTAAGCAGAAACCAATTGGACCCTTCCAAATTGTACATGCCGTCCAGTTGAAATACATCCGTGGCAAAGCGCCCAACTCGTGAACTTGAATCCTCCCAACCGAGCGCACAGCAAGGCTGCACAGACCAAGGGCGCGTGTCGGGGGTGCTATGCCTGGAGCTGAGTCAAGGATTCGCCTCAAGGAAGTGCTGGGATTGGTGTCGGGTGCTTTCCGTTGAGGGGCAGTTGCCAAAGGAGCTGGCAATACAAGGTGAAGCTTCTGGGAAAAGGGGAAAAACCAATGTCAGATCCGTGGATCGGTTTTGGACTCAGGGGGAGTACTTGCCATGTTCGAGCATCCGGTGTGGAAGAAAGCCATCCGCGCCTTCACGCGAGACTCGGAGGCCTCGATGACGACGCCGGGCAGCCATTGACCTTAATCGACTCGAGGCTAGGAGAAATCGAGAGGCATCCCTCAAAGGGTCCCTACCCCTTGACAGGTGTGTTTGCTTTGCCATATCTGGGGTAGCTTAGAAACGCGTATGTTCAGATTATTCTTCATATGTTGTTTGCCCCAAAGCACATCACTTGGAGACATAGTAGGAAACCACGAGTTGTTGCCTCTAGGTCCTGTCATGGACAGTTTCCCCTATGGCAACAAAGGGAAGCACTGTAGCCAACGAAGTGAAGACCACAAGTCTAAGTGGGGAAATGGGATTGTCTCAAGAGGGGCGCCCGCCAAAATGAGTGAAATCCCTTTAAGGTTTCCTCACGAAATCATAGGCCAAAAATGAAAAAACAACTCTCAAAGAAGCACTGGGTACTTTTGGATGAGTTGCTCATACTCTCCCCACTGTCTTCCAGGATCCTTCTCATCAAACAGATAGGCCGAAACCCTGGAAAAGGGGTGGGTTCTAAAGAAAACGATGGGAGCAAAGAATGGGCAATCAAACCTCATAAACTCTACTTCGATAATCCCCTAAGTAGGATATACCCGACTTACAATCCAAATACAGGGCTTGCCATCTGGGGTCACCTTCGTTCAACTTTACTGCGGGTGTGAGTGACACAAGATTCAGATGCGACAAACGAACAAATAGGGGGCTGTCTCCAAATAGGGGAGCCCTTGCTGGGTAATAGCCCAAACCCCCTCCCCACAGCCCGCTGTCCAGGATCACATCTTGGATCACCTTAGGCTTCGATACCCCTTCAATACCCCATCTGGAACTCAGTGAGTGAGATACCCATGGTTATGAGAGCCGGCCAGACGGAATTGTCCCATGTCATGACATGCTTGATTTCCAAGGACCCCTGCGGCCCCATTCTGCTTTTGTAGGCCCTTGCAGTACTACAGGAAGTCATGGAAGATGTACAAACACAGGGACCCCTTGATGTGTAAAAGTCCAGATTGCTGGCCGACTGGAGCCCAGAAAGAGAGATGGGGTATGTATCAAAGCAGGGGATGCCAGGATATCCCAAAATGTGGGTTTCTTTTCGGTTTCAACTTGCAATTGTGAGATATCCAGATTCCAAACATTGTGTTGGGTCGGCTTCAAGGGATTGCATCTTTGAACCTGCAATTCTGAATCTGCAATTCAGTATGTCAAAGAACCACCCCTCACCAACCGCAGGGTACCGTGCCTCAAAAAAGGGCGCCGAGCCTCAAACACCCCCTTTGAGTGTCCTTAAGCCAACCCCGCCCAAGCGGCCGGAGCTCCGGCCTCCGGAGGCGCTCCAAATCAGCAGCTGCGCGCCCAGGACCAGAGGAGCCCGCCATGGCCTCGGATCCGATGGGTCCAGGACCATCTCGGTGGCAACTAGGTCCTCCAGCTTTGAGAGCTTAGAATTCGTGAGGGTACCAACTTTTTTCGGTTTGGTCTATTTTGGGGGAACCCTCCCCGCAAAAAGTAAAAGGGCGCTACTGGGGGACCTGGGCAACATCCCCCTTTGAATTGGGCGAGAGCGCGGGTGGGGATGCGATTCCTGATGGAAAATGGTCCAAAGACGCGGTGCTTTACTGTGTTTGACCAACATCCCTGTGAGCACCCCCTCCCATATGGAATATCCCCATGCTATGCTGACTGGCAGTTTGAGGGGGCAAGATCTCATGAAGGGTAGTTTGACAGGGCAAGATCAGTTTGAGAGCAAAACCCCAGGTTGAAGGGTAGTTTGAACGCAAAACCCCATGTTGAAGTGAAATTGCAAAATCCCAAGTTGGCTAGTTTGTGGGTAGTTTGAATTGTCAAGGGTTTGCTTCTTTGCTTTCCTGACACAAAGGTCAGTCCACTTCGACCCCCAGTGAAGCACCCATCTAAGAGAAACTCTGTTTAACTTGGCAAGCAAAAGGTCATGCTCAAAAAACAACCAAAGGCGAAAGTATAGGGACGCCGACATACCGCGCACGGCGCGATTCGGAATGGACGCCGCGGCGTTGTTGTTGCAGGTGAAAGTGCCGCAAGACGCACAATCATTCATGCATTGGTTTGTCTCAAGATATGTGACCCTAAAAATGTGGGATTCATGTTGCTTACCCTTTAAGCAAACCAAAAGAAGGTACCCTGCAAAACGACACACCCACATACTTGTGTCTCTCTCTCTCTCTGTGTGTCTGTGTCTGCGTGTCTCTTGGTCTGCGTGTTGACGTGTCCCTTGGTCTGCGTGTCTGCGTGTCTGCGTCTCTGTGTGTCTCTGTCTGTGTGTCTGTGTGTCTGTGTGTCTGTGTGTGTTTCCGTGTGTGTGTGTGTCTGTTTGTGTGTGTGTGTGTGTCTGTTTGTCTGTCTGTTTGTTTGTTTGTTTGTTTGTTTGTTTGTTTGTGTGTGTGTGTGTCTGTGTGTCTGTGTGTCTGTGTGTCTGTGTGTCTGTGTGTCTGTGTGTCTGTGTCTCTGTGTCTCTGTGTCTCTGTGTCTCTGTGTCTCTGTGTCTCTGTGTCTCTGTGTCTGTGTGTCTGTGTATGTCTGTCTGTGTGTCTGTCTGTGTGTCTGTGTGTGTGTGTGTCTGTGTGTGTGTGTGTCTGTGTGAGTGTGTGTCTGTGTACGTGTGGTGTGTGGTGTTTGATTGGTTTGGGAAACACGCGTCAAAACCGCCAGCTAGGGGTCCAACATAAAGAGATGCATCAATCAGTGAGTCCCAATCATGGGATCAACCTCCTACCAACTGATGAAGGAACTTGTCCTACAGCATGTTCTCGCTTGCGGTTTAAGCATCTAGTTGCAAATTTCATCATGGTGAGCTCGCTGCACACCCAGGCGAGCTTGCTATATAATAGGTAGATCTACTGTAGGACCTCCTTTGGGTTCCCTTTTCAGGACTACCGAAAAGTCCGGTCGTGCTTTCAACCAACTTTGCCACGCAAACAACCCGGCGAGTCCATTTATCCTCAAAAAATATGCGTTCACCAAAATAAATAAATATGTCTGGTGGCCTGCCGACAAAAATATGGGCCTCTCTCAAAATTAGGAATCCATTTTAGAAGGTGCTTGTAAGGACAGGGAATCAACCATCTTGGGTCGGCCAATCTTGGAATTGGACAATCATTGCGGATAGTGTTGGTGGTAGACAATTTACGCGTGACGTCCAAATCCTATTCTAGAACATCCCTGGGAAATGTACAAAACAGGAAGTCCGCCCCCTCGATGGATGTGGACCCGTTCCTATACATTTATTCCTTGCACTTTGCTCGCAGTTGAGTAGATTGGCCAACCAAATGACCAAACTTTTTGCTTGCCACAACTCCCAGTGCTGCCGCTTCTATAATTGGTAACCAGGGCAAAACATCATGCACATAGAGGCAAGAAACCCTGGTTACCTACAGTGGAAACTGGAAGCCCTGCGATTCACAATGGTCTTCCCAAGTATCAAGTGGCGTGAGCGTACCAGCGCCTCTGCCTCTCAGGTGTCTGAGCTTCCAACTCTGGAGTCAGGCTGCCCATAGCCCGGCTCCGATCTCCCTATACCATGGCGGCTTGGGTTTGTGGTTTTGGGTGCCTCTTCCCCTTGGTTCAAAGAGAAGCCAAAAAGGAAACCCACCATTTTCGGTGGCTAACTCACTCGGTTTAAACCCTCACGTTCACTTGCCAATTGTGATTGATGAAATAGCCAAGGGCTATTGCCACAAGAAGCAAACCATCGAAGATCACATTCAAACTCATAGTGGCTCCAAAGGACATATATTATACATACACATATCTGACCAAGGTCGATCTACTATGTGCACCGATATGTATGTACTTCCACTCGTGGCCCTTCCATGCACCTAAGCCTGCTCAGCACTCTTGATGTTTGCTAATTCTCGGGGGGGTCCGTTTTGGGTTGTTGGTGGTCGATTTTTTGTGGTTCCAAGCCCATGTGTTTTATACTAGTGCGGTTCTGGCGGCAGACAACCTTGGACGTTTTGAGCGGTGTTGCTGTAATTCACCAGCATGAACTCCAATTCAGCATGATGCACCCTTCGCACACATGGTTTTTTGAGCATCCGGTTGAGCAATCTCAACATATCAGATGCTCAACCCAACCTTTTTTCGGTGGCGAACGTGGAGTGCGTTTGTGCTCAGACGTGTGAATTTCAATACCGTTGGGATTCCGATGTTTGGTGCGGCAGCAGCGGGCAGTTAGCGTGTCCAATTTGCGGGCGTCATATCACCTGCCAATCAGACCCCAATTGCCTTGGTTTTTGCACCCTTCTGTTGAATACCACCATACTTCCGGATCAAGAAGCAGCTTTGAGACTGGCAGGATGACATGGATGCAAGCTGCAACATGCATGGCAGAAAGCTCAAAGCTATGTGACGCATAGGCGGCGCAGCTGCGCTGCTAATGGAGCCGTCGGGCGGGGCGTGCGCGATGCTTGTTGCCAGTTGCCATGGGTTGTTGCAGCTGACTGTAATCCATGGCGGCGCGGCAACTTACTGCCTTTGCGAGCGCTCGAGGCGAGGTACTGGGTGATAGACTTCTCTACCCAAGAAATGCTCTCGTTGAGCTCCTCACAGAGATGTTGCAGACGCGCGGGTGGCACAAGCGGGACGCGTCAGCTCGCATCCGCACTCATTTGGCCCAAGTCCCTTGTGGCATGTGGCATATTTTTCTTTGCTTTTAGAGCGCAGTGGCCATTGGCCAATGGGAGCAGCTTGCATTTACAAATCACTATGCCTTAGGTTCATTGCGTATTGCGTGTTTTGCATCTGCAGAGCAGCGCGTTGTTTTCAATGCAGTTTGCATGTGTGCTTGACACACGGATGTGTGATCGATTGGCTGCTTGACCTTAGTTGAGGTATGTGTGATTATGTGTGGTGATGTTTTGTGTGTCGCGTATAGTATCGCTATCGTCTCCAAGAACAACGGTGTGAAGGAGTTGCCAGGGAAGCGGGGAGTAGGTTTGATAGTCATGTTTGATATGAGAACTCACTGCCAGGGCTGGACAGCGCCGACTTGTTGCCAACGCAAGCCAAGCCTGCAACCCAGTCTGCAGCAGCCAGCTAGCAGCCGATCCGAAACCAAGAAACACCGCACCAGTCCAATCAGCGACGTTTAGCGCGGAGTGTTGTAGATAGTATTTGCGTCAGCGCTACGCCAATTTGTCACGAACATTACATGGGCAAAGCTACCGCAGCACAGGTTTGGCGCGAACTGCGCTGTAAGACACTGAGACACCGTTTGTTTTTGTTGACAGCTGGCATCGTTGCCCCAAGATGAGTGTCAGAATTTTCAATCCATCAACTTGCCTGCAGCAACGCCAGCAGCCAGCAACAGCAAAAAAACAACTGACTGACTGCAGCCGCGCTACACTACGGTCGTAACTTGTAAAGACAACAGTAACGACAGAGGCATGGTCGGCAACACTGCGCCAGCCACAGCGAGCGCGGCATCAACAACACTGGCCGTGCCGAGTGCGCCCAGCAACAGCAGAAGAATTGCTGCGCCATACCGACAGTAACAGCTGGGAACGGCAGAATGAAACACTGACGCAAGCAAGAGTAACAACAGCAGCAAAAACAGCTGCAACACACCGCCGACCACCACCACCAACAACAACGGCGACGGCGACTTGACAAGAACAACCTCAACCCGACGACAACAACGGCAGAAACAGCGACAGCAACTTGACAACACCAGCAACACCAACGACAGCAGCAACACAGCGCCAACCGCCACCACCAACAACAACTGCGACGTCATAGAAACTTGACAACAACTTCAACGACGACGACAACGGCGAACAACAGAAAGGAAGGAATGAATGAATGAACTGGACAACTGTCAGCGACAACAGAAGCGTAGCAGCAGCAGCAACAACCACAACAGCCTGCCGGACCTGCCTCCTACTACTACTACTACTACTACTACTACTACTACTCGAACTAGACTACTAGTACTACTACTGCTACTGCTGCTACTCCTGCGCTACGACTAAATAAGCCACACTCCTTCGACCACAACGACGACAACTACAACAACAAGTACTACTACCAATAATAGTAGTACTGCAACGACAGCGCCAGCAACAGCAACAGCAACATCAACACTGTACTAACTACTAACATCATTCGCAGCAACCGCAACCGCAACGACACCAACAGCAACAACCGCAACAAGCAAACAACTAAACGAAGACAAAGGCAACGCGTAGGCCGCGCAACGCCGCTTCAGCAATGCCCGACAGTGCCAGTTCCAGCGCTATTAGCCTGGCACCGGCAGCGCCACCGCTGCAACACCACCCACTTAGTACAACATCTACGACAGCAGCGCCAAAAAGAACAGCGACGCCAACAACCGCAACAACCTGGCAGCAGCAGCCGCAGCGGAAACTACTAGCGCTAACGCCATCAACAGCAGTAAACAACGGAGGCCACGGCGACGCACGACCCCACAGCCGCGGCCCGCGGCGACAACAACACCGCCGCCACCACCACCACCGACAACGACAACAACAACAACGACGACGACGACGACCACAACAACAACAACAACAACAACAACAACAACAACAACAACAACAGCAGCAACGCAGCAGACTCAGCAGCAACAACAACACCGGACAGCAGCAACCACAGTGACAGCCAACAACTAGCGACAGCGACCGGCCGCAACAGCAACATCAACAACAGCGACTCGAGCGACACGACGTGACAACATCAGCAGCAGCAGACCCGTTCGCCCAAGGGTGTTGATGAGTCCAAAGTTCAAGGACCTTTTTCTGAAACTCAAGTTCCAGTCTTTGATGAGTTGATAACTTCAGGGACCAAGACCATTGGCTCATCATTGACGGGAGAAATATGTCTTTTATTTTTGAAAAGTGTTCAGGTACGTGAGATTGCAGTCCGGCAAAGACCATACGTAGCACATGCTGATGTGCAACGTGTGCTGTCTCAGCTGGGCTTGCCTCTGATTGTCCGAGACACCAGCAGGTTGACCAGCGCGCAGCAACCTATGATGATCGATGATGACGACCTGGGACCATCGGCCTCTGCCAGCGCCGTGGTTCCTTTGCCTGCGCCGGGGGATGCCATTGTAGTGACGATACATGACGATGCTAGTGCAGACGCCAATGCAGCCAACACTGCTGCGCTCCGTGTTGCAGTTTCGGGCCAGGGGCAGGCGGGGGCAGCAGGGCAACTGATTCCTTACCAGGCACCTGCGCCTGCGCCTGCCCATGAACTGCAGCCACAACATCCGCGAGCGTTGCAGACCCGCAACCCAGGGGCAGTGCAGCTGGCGCAGCTGACAGCGACTGACTATGAGCAGCTTCCTCCTGCGCGTTGCGCTTGGTTTGCAGCAAGGACATCTCGCATGCTCCTCGTGCAGCTGCAGAAAAACAAGAGTTTGAGATCGCAGCTTGCCGTGACAAAGAGAAAGCTCACCCGCTTTCAAGAGCAGACATCGACTGCAGTGGCAAAAAAGCAGAAGAAAACCGATCTTTCAGCGTACTCTGGATCACTTGTGTTGCACACGCGGGGGAAAACAGGCAAGCGCCTAACGGAGCAATCAGCATTTGCGTTGGGCGTGCGTCGCAACTTGTCGCAGATCGCTTGCAGTACTCTCGGAAGCACAATCTTGATGGACTTGAGTGGGCAACGTGTGGCCCGGGCGGAGATCAAAACCGGGGCCGCGGTGGTGGCCAGCATGCAGGGCACCATTGGCAATGTCATGCGCGCTTGCTATGACATTGCTGCCGACCGAGTTGCAGATGCACCCGACATAGCCGCAGAGACGCTTGCTGACGTGGGTTCGGATTGGACCCTATGCATCATCGCCTACCGATCTGATGCAACAAATAGCAGTGTGTGGCGGCGCGAATCCCTTCATGTCCTTGATGCTGATTTTCTCTTCGTGTCAGATCGCGCTGCCGTTGCGGCCTTCGACGCCGACCGTTCCTTCAGCATCTCTCACTGTTTGCGCCACGGCTGCAGTGGTCAGGTGATTCAGTTGTGTGATTTTATTGCGCTCTCTTTTTTTTGTTGCCCCTTTTTGCGGGGCACGGGAGCAGTTTGGGTTTGCGAAGTCACGAAGGCAGGTGTTCCAAGTCATCGAGCCAGGGTGTCTCAAGTTCCTGCGTCAGGCGATTGAGGCATGTCGGGTCTGGTCAGTTGAAGCTTGTCTCACTTTCAAGCTTTCGATCGATTTCTCGCGAGTTGGTTCGACACTTGCGGCTTGACACAGTGCTCCGCTGCCTGAATATATATATATATATGTGTATGTATATATAAATATATATATATATATGTGTGTGTGTGCGCGCATGTGAGCGGCGTCGACCCCCTAGCAACACAAGCATTTTTGAACGGGATTTAACGGCACCTGGCGTTGGTGTATCTGAGTGTTGTTTAAGTGTTTTAGTGAGATGACCATGTTGGTTTAACACCCAGGCGTTTCATCCCGTCCGCTTGTGCGGCCTAGGAGTGACACGCAGGTGGTGTCTGGCAAGACTGCTGAGCACAATCACGGCATGGTCACAAAGCAGCTGCGCTCGCTGGGGGCTCCTCTCTGGGATGACATCACCA